CGCCAGAGCAAGCAACGCTGGTGAACCAGTGGAAGTAAATGATCCAGTCGGCGGTCTTGGGATAGATCTGGTCCGAAGTAGACTCCCAAAAGTTTGCATTGGCCGGTGTTGTGAGCGACTTGGACTCCTAGTGAGCGAAGGGTCGTAGGGAGGGATTGGTCTTGCCAAGGCGAAAACGGCATGATGTGCGTTTTGGTGCGGTTGAGTTGCATGCCCGTTGCTTGACAAAAGTCTTCCACGAGACCCAGAAATCTGGGGGTGTCGGCAAGATCAGCAAGAATACCTGTGCAGTCATCCGCGAATGCAACGATGGTGTGCTTGGAGTTGTGGAGAGGTATGCCAGGAATCTTGGATCGGATATAGTTCAGCATGGGCTCAATAAAGAGAACGAACAGACCAGGGGACAGAGGATCGCCTTGGCGGACACCGGCGCCGAGTTCAAACGGGGCCAAGGGTTTACCGTTGAGCAGGATGTAGATAAGCGTGTTGGAGTAGAACGTCTTGATCCACGTGCGGAAGGTGTGTCCAAAGTTGAAGTGGGTCAATACTATGTCCAGTACCTTCCAAAGAACGCTGTCAAAGGCTTTAGCAAAGTCGAGGAGCACTGCGCCGGCTTGGGTGGTCTTGTTTAGTTGGCAATAGTGTTGTAGAGTGGTGAATTCGAACAAGGCTTGGTGGATGGAACGCCCAGGGACAAAGCCATGTTGATCGGGATGCAGAATGTGAGGAAGGACCTTGCCCAGACGGTATGAGAGAATCTTGGGGCCAAGTTTAGCATCAGCGTTGAGTAGAGTGAGTGGGCGGTGGTTGCCAGGCTCTAATCTTGGACCGTCTTTGTAAAGCAGGGATAGATGTGCCCGACGTTGAAACTTGGTCATGCGTTGTTTGTCAAGCTGGCTGGTGTAGCAAACTTCAAGAACACGTGCCCAGTTGTGAGGGTCTGTAAGGTAGTATTCCACGGGTAGTCCGTCCGGTCCTGGAGCTTTGTTTTTGGCCGTCTTGATGAGCGCAAAATAGAAGTCGTTGGCTGTGAGTGGTGCTTCCATGGCACGGCGTTGGGTAGTAGTGAGACGGCTCGTTGTCTTCGCTAGGATCGAGCGCAAAAGTGATCTGTTGAAGGTTCGACGGGGACAGTGAATGTCGCGCGACGGGCTTTGAAAGATTTGAGCCCAATAGCTGCGGAACTTTTGCGCCGTGTCGTCGTATTCTTGCTTGGTCCGGAGGGGTAAGCGTGTTGGTAGATGCGTGTGAATTGGCGGCCGGAGAAATTCCTTTGTGCATTGTTCATCCAGGTGAAGGTCTTGGTCGAAGCGGTTGCGCTTTTGGGATTCTTGAAGGGAGGCATAGTACTTGTCGTAGAGCGTTTGAGCGTCTGTATACGCCTGTTGAGCTGCTTGTGACGGCTTGGTGCGGGAGATTGTTGCTTTTAGGTGTGCATCGGTGAGCAGAGCTGTTAATTTGCGTTGGGTGGAGTTATGATGCAAAACAAAGGCAGTGCGGAGATAGATACTGTCGGAGCGCTTGTGTTCGTCGAGTAGGCATCCCGGGTTGTAGTTTGGCAGCGATGGTGTTGCAAGTTTGTGCATCAGGTCTTGTAAGGTGGCGCGTAAATGTGCTTGTACTTGTGGAAGTTGCAATAGCCACGTGGGACAGCGCCAGGGTGATGCAACATTATGTGGTGACCAAGTACGCGTGGCAATGTCAAAAATGATCGGGATATGGTCTGAATGGTGCCATTTCATTCCATGTGCATGGCGTATTTGCCGGACGTTGTTGACAAACATGTGGGAGCTCATGAGCACCATGTCAATGCGTCTGTTCGATTGTGGGCTGGTGAACTCCATAGCTGTCGGGTTTTGGATGCGCCAGGGGTCTGTCAGCTGCAGGGCGACTTGCCAATCCATGAG